CTTGTGGGCCCGGAGGGCAAGGAAGAAGTCTGAGCTTAGTCTTTTCATTTCCAAGTCATTGGTTCCTCTCCAATCCACCCACTCTGCACAAAGCATCCAGAATAGTCCTCTAGATTCATAGAGAATGTCACTCCCCTGCTTACAATCTTCCAGTGGCCCTCAAGGCCCAGAAAGCTCCCCTCCCCAACTCTATCTCCTATCGCTTTACTCCTCATTCTCTACTCCCCCCACACATTGATCCTTCTGTCCCTCAAAGCAAACCTACCTCCAGTCCTGGTCCCACCTCTGTCAGGCACACTCTCCCTAAGCAATTTGTGGGCGTCCCACCTCCTTCAAGAACCCTTCCTGAACCATCCAATCTAAAACAGAGCCCTCCTCCTGCCTCACAGCCCCAGGCACTCTTTAGCACATCAACCCAACCATTTCTCTCACTTCATTCATCACAGCCTATTCTTGTTTATTGATTTGTTAACTTGATTATTGTTTCTCTTCCTAACCTCTTCGCCCTCAGCAGGTACTCCAGGGCCTGGAACATTGTTAAAACTTAATTAATATTTGTTGAATGAAACTGTGCTTCCATTATCATGATGGTGCTGATGACAAGGATGGTGGCTAATGATGCTCTCCCACAGTGAGATGTGGATTTGAGTTTGTGGATCCAAGGATGGACTGGAGCGTATTCTTGACCATCTAATTAGAAACAGGAGTCGTTGTTAAAAGCTTAGTGTAGGCTTTGCAGGGGGTGTGTGCGTGTAAGTGTGTGTTTACTCCTACCCAGAAGACCTCACAGTCATTACTAGGTACGAGCCACCACCTGTCTTCATGGATACCCACTCAGTAAAGGTCAAACAAGGATATGTCAGGTTTCCTTTATCACTTTGCATGATGGTCTGAATTTATTGCATTTTGTAGACAATAAATATGAGACAGGAAGACAGTCTCCTGGCCCCTTTAAATGTTCTTTCCAGCTCCCGCACTCACTCTGCCGGGAATGGTCTTGAGGACAGGCTAGAAAAAAGAGAAAATGCAATTAACCAGACAGTGCTAAGGGGAAGAACTGGGGCTGAGAGCCAAGCAGGGGACGCGCAGAAAAGAGAGGGGCCAGAAACTGAAGCAGGATGACCTATCAGTTTCAATCACACTGGTGAAAACTTAAGGAAAAACATGGTTGAACTCATCTGACATTGGTCCTGAAAAAGGGACAGATGCTAATAAACCTCAAAAAGTAGAGATAGGCCAGGCGCGATGGCTCACACCTGTAATCCTAGCACTCTGGGAGGCTGAGGGGGGCAGATTGCTCGAGGTCAGGAGTTCAAAACCAGCCTGAGCAAGAGCGAGACCCCGTCTCTACTACAAATAGAAATTAGTTGGCCAACTAATATATATAGAAAAAATTAGCCGGGCATGGTGGCACATGCCTGTAGTCCCAGCTACTCGGGAGGCTGAGGCAGCAGGATTGCTTGAACCCAGGAGTTTGAGGTTGCTGTGAACCAGGCTGACGCCATGGCACTCACTCTAGCCTGGGCAACGAAGCGAGACTTTGTCTCAAAAAAAAAAAAAAAGAGATGAAAGAAATCTCAATCATATCATTTTGCAGATGGATAATTTGAAGCCCAAAGATGAGAAGGGACTTTCTTAGGGTCACACAGCAATTCCCATGGCTGACCTAAGACTAGAATTCTCACTATTCAAAGTTCAGTGTTTTGAGAATCTGCTTTTACAGACTTCCTGAGTAAAAAGACGAAAAAAAAAAAAAAAAGAGAAATAAATTAAGTAGCAAAAAATAAAATTATTCATAAAAAAAAAACAAAGTTCAGTGTTTTTCTGGCACATAATATAGACCAAAGGGTAGTCTCATATTTGAGCAAACAGCGAATAGATTATTAACTTCAGTAACATCACAGGTGTAATGCCTAACTTCAAGGTAAGTCATGCATATGTACACTCATTTCTGTGGCTGCAGAAACTAGCAAGACCCTGTGTCCAAAACTTCCCTAAATTCCCATGGCTTCTCATTTCTAGCTCTCCTTCCCCTCAGACCATTCCCAGCCTATCACAACGTATGTCTCACTTAGCCTTTGACTCCCAAGCTGATACTATCAGAGAAACTGGAAACAACCAAAGATATATGTTAGTAGAGAACTAGGTGTGCACATGAGACCTACAGAAGCAGCGAGTGAATCATATTAGATACTGAATACTCTTTGAAGCCATGTCAGATCAGAGATCATGAATCTTACCCACTAAAATGGTGGGAAATAGGACCATTCTAGAATATCTAGGGTAATGTATGGGATGGAGGAAATAAAAGAGGAAGAGAAGATTAAGTCTACTACTGAGGGTTTGGGGCTGCCAGGTCCCATACCTAGAAGCTCAGAAGGATGAGCAAACAATCTAGATACTTAATCTTTCTTCTTTATATATATAATAACAATATAAATATTAATAATAAACATAGTTATCACTTACTGATCACTACCTACAAGTAATGTGTTAAGCCCTTTTCTGTTACTTGTAACAGAATACCTGAAACTGGGTAGTTTATTAAAAAAAAAAGAAATTCATTTCTTACAGCTATGGAGGCTGACAAGTCCAAGGTTGAGGGGCCACATCTGCTGAGGGCCTTCTTGCTGGTGGGGACTCTGCAGTCCGCTGAGATGGCACAGGACATCAGACGGCAGGTATCATATGGCAAGGGGGCTGAGTGTGCCAGCTCAGGTCTCTCTTCCTCTTCTTATAAAGTCACATAACCCATTAATCCATTAACCCCTAATCAATTAATCCATTAACTGTGAATGGATTAGTCCATTCCTGAGTGCAGAGCCCTCAGGACATAATCACCTCTTAAAGGCTCCACCTCTCACATTGGAGATTAAGTTTCAACTTGAACTTCAGAGGAAACAAACCAAAACAGCACATTACTTATCTTTTTCATTTAATCCCCACCTCAGTCCCATGAAATGTAGGCATTATTCCCAATGAAAATCAGAGTGATGAAGTAATTTGCCCATGTTTGTTACCAAGCTGTAGGACCAAGATATGAATTCAAGTTTGAGTTCCTTGTTTAAATTTTATTTTATTTATTTTTTTAGAGACAGGTTTCACTATATTGCCCAGGCCAGCGTGCTATGGCTATTCACAGACGTCATCATTGCTACACTACAGCCTCTAACTCCTAGGCTCAAGGGATCCTCCTGCCTCAACCTCCAGAGTAGGTGGACCACCACTCACCACTGTGCTGGGCAAGTCTGAGTTCTTAATCACTGTATTTCAAAAGGTGGTTGGGAGGATTAAATTTAAATTAAAAATTTTAAGGCCGGGCGTGGTGGCTCACGCCTGTAATCCTAGCACTCTGGGAGGCTGAGGTGGGCGGATCTATCAAGGTCAGGAGTTCAAAACCAGCCTGAGCAAGAGTGAGACCCGTCTCTACTATAAATGGAAAGAAATTAATTGGCCAACTAATACATATAGAAAAAATTAGCCGGGCATGGTGGCACATGCCTGTAGTCCCAGCTACTTGGGAGGCTGAGGCAGGAGGATTGCTTGAGCCCAGGAGATTGAAGTTGCTGTGAGCTAGGCTGACGCCATGGCACTCACTCTAGGCTGGGCGACAAAGCGAGGCTCTGTCTCAAAAAAAAAAAAAAGAAAGAAAGAAATTATCTGAACAGCTATATATATATAAATTAGCCTGGCACGGTGGCGCATGCCTATAGTCCCTGCTACTCGGGAGCCTGAGGCAGAAGGATCGCTTGAGCCCAAGACTTTGAGGTTGCTGTGAGCTAGGCTGAGGGCATGGCACTCTAGCCTGGGCAACAGAGCCAGACTCTGTCTCAAAAAAAAGAAAAAGAAAAGTTTTTAAGTAAAGCACCTTGCAAAGCATCAGCTCTTAGTCCGTGCTCCATAAATGGTAGTTTGTGCCCCTTCCTGACCTTCTTCACATCCCTTGGTTTATCATCTACTAGGAAAGGATAGTAAGGCTCTTTGGTAAAAAGCGTTTCTTTGCCTGGAATGCTCAATCCTCCGTTGCCAACTCTCAATCCATCTCTTGTCAAAGTCCCTGAATTCCTGGCCATCTAACTAGGGGACAAAAGCGGAGGGGAGGTCAAGGGAACATCCCCAAGGCCATCGTTTCCCGGTCCAACTGGAGGTCTTGGACTCTGCCAGCCGTAGGGGAAGGGCTGTCCTGGGCTTGCTGTAAGAACTGGAGCATCTCATTTTCTTGTCTGGAAGTCAGTTTCCCCTTTGCAGCGAGGGGCAGGGCTGGAGGCCCCTGAGGGGAACATGGGGGAACTGGGTCAGGGGCAAAAACAATGTGATCGGCAAGTGACTTAAACCTCTCATATTCCTGTCCCATCCTCAAAAGGATAATAAAACGAATTAATTGTACATGGTTCACAAGGCTGCTGAACTAAAGTAAATAATTCACAAAAAGTGCTTAGCAGAGTGCTTTGGATATGGGAAGCATTCGATAGATGTTACCTTTGTTACTGCCTTAAGGAATCCTTTGCGAATGACTTTAATTCACAACTGTGCTCGATGGCCTACCTAAAGAGCGGCTCTAGAGTCCTGAATTTTGCGCTTTTCAGGGCATGATGAACAGGCTTTCAGGCTCAAGCTGAGGGCTGCGACTGGCACAACAGCCATGACAGTGGGCGCCAAAAGCTCACTTCCCTTTCTTATCTTTGCGCGGCCCGGCCAGGCGGGAGACCCGGACTTCCGCAGCCCGCCCATCTCAGCCACCATTGGCCGCCTCCTCGCTGGCGTGACTCAGGCCCCGCCCTCCTCTCGCTGGGACCACTCTGAGGCGATCTCGGGCGGCGGAGGGGCCGCGGAGGAGAGGCCGCGATGCATCCTGGGCTTTGTAGTCCCTCCGCACAGCTGCTGCCAGAGAGCGGAGCCCCAGGGCTCGAAGAACTACAATCCCCAGCAGCCTGGCGGAGAGCGCAGTGAGGGGGGCTGGCGTCACGTGGGCGTTCGGCCTGGGCGGGCTATTTCTCAGTGCGGCGGCGGCGGCTCGGGGGACCGGGGCCTTTTGTTTGGAGCGGCTGCGGGGGGCCCCGGAGCGGCGAGGCCGGCGGCCTTCCCCAGCTCGCTCGGTCCCGGCCGCCCCTCGCGGGGGTGAGGGGCCACCCCTGGGCCGGGCATCGCCCCGGGCGCCGCCGCCCCGCCCTAGGCCCGCCCCGCCCGGCCTGAGGGGAGGAACCCGGCCGGGCCTCACCGCGCGGCCCTACCACCTCCGGAGTCGCCGCCACTGCTCTCCGTGGTCCGGACGCGAGGCTGCCTCTCGCCCCTCAGCCGACGCCATGAAGATCAAGGATGCCAAAAAACCCTGTAAGATGGGGGCGCGGGCCCGCCGGGTTGGGAGGGCAGCCGTGGGCCGCGCCCGGAAGCCTCTTGGCGGAGCGGCTGGGTTCCAAGTCCGTCGCTCCCCGCCGGCGCCTAGCCCGGGATGGGGGCGGAGGGACCTTTTCAGCACCTGATTCGAGGCGCCTGTCCTCCCCATCCCCCTATACATACTTGGTGAGCGCCGGCCGCCCCCTGGTCCTTTCCTCCCACTTCCTCTTCGAGATATGGGAGGTGCAAGAGGGAATTTTTGATTCGGATTTTGCCAAACAAAACTAGAGCCGCCAGCCCCCTCTCCCAGCTTCCTTTGGAGTGAGGTTGAAAAGAGGTGGTCCTGGCTGTCAGATTGCAGGGGGGGTAGTCAGTACCTGTTTTTACTGATTTCCGGGCTTCCTGCCTATGTCCTTGAAATCCCAGTGGGTTCCTGGGAGTTGTCAATGTTGTTACAATTGGAGCTTTTAAACGCACGTGCTTGTAACCGGTCTATAGATAATTGCCTTGGTTTGTTTTTGTTTAGGACTTCAACTAGTTCGTGTTTGTTTTAGAAAGTATAAACAAAAGGAAGATAAAAATCACCTGTATTCCAGGCACCAGAGCGAACCACTATTAATGTTATGGTGAATACCTGTAGAGACTTTTGTGATTGTATATGCATGTACTTTTTTTTAAAAAAAAGACATTCTTGCCATGCTTTAAAATAGCAGATCAACTTTTCATCTGTTGCCTTTTTTATAAGCGTTTTAAAAATCTTTTATTCCTGACATTGGTTTATTTAATCATTCAGCCATTGTGATTGTCATCCATTAAATATATCTCAGAACAGCTCATATCGTAGAGTTGTGTTGATATTTTGCAGTTTTTACAGTGTTCCGTGTTCTAAGAAATCTTCAGCTATGAAACAGCACTGACTGCCAGCCCATCAGATTTCTTGAAAACCTCAGCAGACAGGCAGCAAGCCAAAGTACTCTGAAAGCTGCTAATTGTTAGTTAAATGTGAGGTAACATGGTCTTTATTTTAAAGATTAGGAAATTGAATTTACCAAGGCCCTGAATAACTTCCATGGTTATACCAAACCAGCTATGTGTTAATGAGGTTCAGAGCCCCAGGTGGGCTGACTTAGTCCAGTGTTCTTTCTCTTGTGCTCATAGGGCATATACTAAATATTTAGAAAAACCTTTTTCACTTGATAGTTTTATCTGCTAGTTTAAAAATTTGTTCATGGAGATTTTTTGTGATAAATGAAGTGTTCTTGTGATGGTTGTTAAAGGACTCTATAAAACCGTGATGCAAAGGCTTAAATGACAAAGTCATGTAAAAATTTTTTTTTTTTTGAGACAGAGTCTCTGTTGCCCCGGCACTCGTGGCATCAGCCTAGCTCACAGCAACGTCAAACTCCTGGGCTCAAGCGATCCTCCTGCCTCAGCCTCCCCAGTAGCTGGGACTACAGGCATGCACCACCATGCCCAGCTAATTTTTTCTATTTTTGGTAGAGCCGGGGTATCGCTCTTGCTCACGCTGGTCTCAAACTCCTGAGCTTAAACGATCTGCCTGACTTGGCCTCCCAGAGTGCTAGGATTTTTTGTTGTTGTTGTTGTTGAGACAGAGTCTGGCTTTGTTGCTCAGGCTAGAGTGAGTGCCATGGCTGTGCACTAACTCACAGCACCTCAAACTCCTGGACCTCCAAGCAATCCTACTGCCTCAGCTCCCGAGTAGCTGGGACTACAGGCATCCGCCCACGGCCGGCTGATTTTTCTTATATATATTAGTTGGCCAATTAATTTCCTTCTATTTGTAGCAGAGTTGGGTCTTACTCTTGCTCAGGCTGGTTTTGAACTCCTGACCTTGAGTAATTCACCTGCCTCAGCCTCCCAGAGTGCTAGGATTACATGCGAGAGCCACCGCTCCTGGCCAAATATTTCTAATTTACTTTACTTTAGCTGAATTAAACTAATCCATCTTGAACCAGTTTAGTAATGTAGACCACTTGACATCTTCCCTCAATGCATACATTTGCTCTCTTAGAATTTCCATTTGGCTAAGAGTTTATGACAAACTCATTCTGACTCTTAATGATGGTGTTTATTTTCTTTTTGTTATAGTGATTTGATTGTGTAGATTTGAGCAAGCTATTATCCTAATCAGGTATGAATACCCCCTGCATTTTTTTTTTTTTTTTTGAGACAGTGTCTTCTGTTGTCTGAGCTAGAGTGCTGTGGCATTAGCCTGGCTCACAGCAACCTCAGACTCCTGGGCTCAAGCCATCCTTCCTGCTTCCGAATCCCACGTAGCTGGGACTACAGGCGTGCATCACCACACTTGGCTAGATTTTTCTACTTTTAGTAGAGATGGGTCTGGGGTCTCTCGCTCTTGCTCAGCCCAGTCTGAGCTGTACCTTAGCTGAGCCCACCTTAGCTCAAGCTCCTGCCTGGGGCCTCCCAGCTTGTTTGAGGCTAGGATTACAGGTGTGAGCCATCTAGCCCAGCTCTCCCCACTCCCCCAACGCCCCACCCCCGCCTTTTTTTTTTTTTTTTTTTTAAGTAAATTGATTATTACTACATTGTGGTACTTTGTGAGACTATTAATCTTAAAATAGTCATGCCAAAAAACCAGTCAGTTAATATGATTTGGAAGCCTACAATAACATTTCCAGTTTCTTATATGTAAAAGATGACTTTACTGCCTACTATAGTCATTATAGTAAAAAATAGATATCCTCTCATTTTGTTGTGTATGTGGTAAAAGAAGGTATTTCAACCATGAACTGCCCTGGAAATATTTGTAACTGGAAAGTGATATTCTAATTTTTTTGTTTTGTTTTTCATGGGCATTTCTAATACCATGCTTATTCAATTTTTAAACCATTTAGTTTTGTGAAAGATATGTTTTCTCTTATAGGGTTTTTTTTGGAATAATCATAGCATTTATTGACCTCTTAGTATATGTAAGGCGTATGCATTGCATCATTTAACTCTTACAGTAGTACTAGAAGCAGCTACATATCAACATTGGCTTCTCACACATTTTCTTACATTATTCACCTAAATGTTAGAAAACATGGCTTTTAGATACATCACCAATATATTAGCAGGTTATAAACCAAATGCATATAACTAGAAAATTGTAAAAGGAATTTATTTTATCCTCTAAACTGTATTACTAGAAGAATCACATTTGGAATTATGTGTTAAATCAACCCCAAGGGAAGGAGAAAATCAATCTTGTGTTCCTCCATATTTTAACTGACATGATTTCTTAAGGTATAGGTTTTTCAACTTGTGCTTTGCCTACCTGTTTGGCATGTAACTGGATTAACAAGTTAATAGTAAAAGATGACATACATATGGATTTAAATGTGATGTGATAGTGGGTTTTGATTCTGTGCTTTTCTAACCTAAATAAGGTACTTGAGACGGGGCACGGTGGCTCACGCCTGTAATCCTACCACTCTGGGAGGCCAAGGCGGGCAAATTGCTCGAGGTCAGGAGTTCAAAACCAGCCTGAGCAAGAGCGAGACCCTATCTCTATATAAATAAAAAAAGAAATTAATTGGCCAACTAATATCGGTAAGCTTTCCTTTTCATTTATTAAATACTTACCATGTGCCCCAGGGAATGGGAAACATTTGGACCAACTTTGCTTCAATAAATAGGTCATCACCTAGGGCTTGAAAATCTTTGTTTCTATAAAGATTTAACTATAATAAAATTGGCCTATAATCACTTCAAGTAATCTAAGGGTAAAGTTCCTCCTTAAAAAGAAATCTTTTTCTGGCTGGGCACAGTGGCTCACGCCTGTAATCCTAGCACTCTGGGAGGCCGAGGTGGGAGGCTCGCTCAAAGTCAGGAGTCCAAAACCAGCCTGAGCAAGAGCAAGACCCCTGTCTCTACTAAAAATAGAAAGAAATTAGTTGGCCAGCTAAAAATATATAGAAAAAATTAGCTAGGCATGGTGGCGCATGCCTGTAGTCCCAGCTATTCTGGAGGCTGAGGCAGGAGGATAGCGTGAGCCCAGGAGTCTGAAGTTGCCG